AAGAAATTACCATTACCACTACTTATAACTCTCTATTCACAACTTAATGTGGCATCCTTGTATCTGCAAGACACGGATGTGATACTATACAGGCAAGTGATTGCTGTGAGTTAGTATTTACAGGCAAAGACAGAAGAATGGTGCTTATAAGGCCCAATAAACGTTATATTTACAAGTACAGGATGTTTATTGTTTTATTCGAGATCATAATAATCCTCCGTTGTCACTATAATGAGGAAGGAGAGTGTCAGTAGAAGAAATACATTTCACTGACGAAGGGAAAAGAAAGGAAAGGGTACGACCCACTTCTAACAACAAAGGCATGAATCACAGTGACAAAATTCAGGTGAGGTAGATATTAGTATAAGGACATGTCCCTGGGTGTAATAAAAGTATGTACTAATTATTATAAACACATACAAATAACTGTTATATTACAGGCAGGTCAACATGGTAAACCTCTGTTCTCTCTCTTAGGACTCGTCATGAAGGTCGTTCTTTCCCATGTGGCGAAAAGAGGCCAATAATATTACGGAAAATATGTAGACATCTGTAGACTTCTTTTCAATGATAAATTAAAACATAAAAAAAAAGGATTTCTGGTATTATAGTCCTGTTATTTTGCTGGCCACCCAAACCATATGGCAGCATGGCGATAGCAATTGAGCACCAATACTGTCCTGTCTTCAACACAGATCGAGCCATTTCCTCAAAATCAGAAGTTGTTGTATAATTATACACAAAACAGTGAACAGTTTAGAGTTTAACCGACTCTCAGTAACATACGGCGATGGTTTCACGTTATGCGAGAACTCCATCAGCCCAGTGATACTCATGCAGCAGATAAACCCGAATCAGACTTCAAATATTTTGCATGAACTGACTCCTCCAACTTAGCAAATAATTAACTTTGAACATTTCGTATGACCTATCTTTATCTTTAGATTAGCAAAACACAAAGTTCGAATGTTTCGGTGGAACTGCCCCTATCTTCAGGTTATAAATGAAGACAGGGTCATGCGATTTATGAAAAGCGCAGAAGGTCTGTATAAGCCAACAAGGAGCTGGCATCCAGGAATTAATTCTGGGTTCCTTACATTTATAATGAAGTTATTTTTTAAGAGAATAAATACACGACTTTTAAGGAGATTTACCACCGAGTAAATAGCCCCAAGTACTCATTGGAATTAAGGCTGGATGGGCTCCAAAGCCGCTCTGTAGAAGAGAAAAATCTTGCCCCTGCAGAGAATCGAATCCCAGCCGTCCAGGTAGTAGCCCATCGCTATGGCGACCGAGTTATATCGGCTCTTAAGTAACATAAGAATCGATCAATTCTTCCTCTACAACCACTGTTCGCATACAACCTCCGATTTAATTAAATTTTAAATTGCTGGTGAACATTCAAATAATATTAAGGCAAGTTCAATCAATAATTTATGGGACCGCTGATCAAAACAAACTGTCCATTATCTCTAGCTACGTTTTCGTCCATTTATTTTCGTGTCTGCTGTGCAAACAACTTTTAATATTACTTTTTATGTATTCAGTGTTCTTGGAGTCATCATGTATGGACATTTCAGTCCCGAAGTATTCCATAAAATTTTTATCGCAGTATTTACTGTAGTCTCTCACAATATTACATTTAACTGCACACTAGCAGCAATTCGTAAACTATAACCGTAAAATGGAAAGGGATTATTAAAAAGAAGGGGGAAAACCACTGCATCTTATAACAAACGGCATCCACACAACTCAGAGAATAGCATACGGGTTCATAATTTGGGCGTCTCGAGTTAGAATATTGGAACAGAGGCCTACTCCATTAATGACGGATTTTTTGCGTTTTTTCCACTCTCTCCAGACAAATACCGTAGCACCGGAAAAGCGTCGCGAATGTGTCCTTACACTCGAAAAAAAGCGAGTCTATAAAGCGTCTATAATTAAGTAAATTAAGTAAGTACTATAATTAGTACTAATTAGTATAATTAGTAAGTCTATAATTAAGTAAGTACTGATAAAGCGTCTATAATTAAGTAATCAAACAAATAAGGAAGACAATTTTCAGTTTAGATATGTGCGTTTGGAATATCGCCCGTATACCATATGAAGTTGTAGTACAAACAAAATAACTGCTCCCGAATTTCGTTGCGTCCCTTTATTAGCTGTTATGCTCTGTGACCGACGATGAATGTGTTAATGCTCGTTCTAACGAGCTCAACATTTACATAAGAATTCGCACATTTTTTAAAGATCCATACAGAAAAGGCTTAACGTCTGACACAGACACCGCCGATTTTGCGTTAAAAGTTTGCACGGCCGCTGTGTTAATGCTCGAAGCCATGGTATAAAGATGAACAATAGACCGTTACATAGACACGACTGGAATTCCCACACATCGAGGGGACGGGTGGGAGTATCATCCGAAAGGGTGGTAAAAACACGAAAATAGTCCACCTACGCCAAGGTGACTGGGGTTGAAACGATCTGGTGTCGTTAATGATCCCCATGGGTAGCACGGGGGTACACCCCGTTGAATCTTCGCCTTCCACTTATATGGGGCGCTAAGGGTTGTAACTTCTTAGAAACCCGTTACTCGCAAGACCCTCCACGGATGCCAATGAAAAATGTCTTAAAACATAAAACAAAGAGGTGTCACCTTTCGGGGAGAACCTCACAACAAAAAAACTTTTCAGCAGAGGTCTGGGAGCTCTAGTGAACCATCACGGGGTACTGGGGGAATCAGTGAACCAGCAGTTGAAGTTTCAGCCAAGGCCAAATATGAACTAGTAGTGACACCTGTATATGGTAACAATTGCAGGGAGCTAGCAGTTCTATCATACCCGTAGAAGGAGAACTATGTGGCTTTTGGCTGTGGAACTGGGCAGGCTCGACATAGCAAAGACAAAATTGCCTGATGTGTTAGGTGGAAGCTGCAAAAAGCAAGGGCGGGTCAAGTGGGAACAGGAGGCATTCAGCAAGCGGGGAACTCGGCACACCTAAGAAGGGAGCAACTAGACCGGGACCTCTTAACAGGCCAGGACCTGACAGCGGTACCCTACAGGTAGTCTTTCTCACCTCCGAAGAGGCCCAGAATGTCCACAGCCGAGTTTTTTAGCCTTTCTCGGCACAAAATTGTCAAGGCACACCATTAATTTTTAAATAAATATTTTATAAGTAAAAGCGAATAAGTGATTACATGCATACTTACAAATCTAATAAAAACATCTTTCCTATTTTGAATAGTATTAACAAGCAAAGTGCCAGAATGTACGGTGAGAATGTTCAGGCTTACGCTCTTAAACAGAAACAACTTCTGGTAATGGCTGCCACCGACTGATTTAACGATGCTTATTGAGTTGGAATGGGACCGGAGATAGAATAGCGACTAGCTACGGGCTCGACGACCGAGGGGTCGGAGTTCGAGTCCCGGTAGGGTCAAGAATTGTCTCTTCTCCACGTCGTCCAGACTGGCTCTTGGGCCCACCCAGCCTCCTATCCAACGGGTACCGGAGACTGTTTCCCCGGGGATAAAACGGCAGGAGTGTGAGTCTGACACCTCCAGCTAGTGCCGAGCTGAAGAAAATGTGGATCTATACATCCACTCCCCCAAACGCCTTCATGGCGTAGTGCTTAATTAGTTTACCTTCTTATCTTTATTGAGTTCCTATAACTCCGACTGGAAGGATGACTGTGACTGAAGCAATGTACAGCATGTAAAAGGAAGTGAAGGTGCCCTACTGCATGTTATTATTCTGTCATTTTTGTGTGGGAATGAGGAACACCGCGAGAAGACTTAGGACAACAGGTAACCGAGTTGAGATTCGAACCCGGAGCATTAAATACTAGGTCGCAATGCTGGCTCTGAGTCTTTTGAAACTGATTAACAGAGAGTTCAGGTACAAACGATTCTATCTTGCGATAGACGAAGCCAGCATGAGCATGGATGTATCGGGAACTGCTGTCCGTCGGGCCAGGAAATCCCTTGAGGCCGGTTAAAAAGGGATTCGCTAAAAAAGAGGGTCTGCCTATGGCTGTATATTCTTCCACAGCTTTAAGCGCAGGACAGAACTATAGGTCAGCTAACCGCACGTTTTGTTCAATGTTTGCTTTCCTTTCCTCTGGGAAGTGTTACAGAGAAGAGAAAGACAAAAGTAGACAGAAGCCGCAGTATTTGAAACCTCTATCAATCGTTGACATTTTAATTTAAGTTTCTGGCGTGCTACGACAGAAGTGGCACAATTTATAACATGTTCTCTTCGCCTCTGGAACAGAAATTAGTACTTCCTGAAAACTTCATGTATCCAGTATACTAAACCGAAACAAAGATGCCTAAAAGGCCAGGGAGTCAGATTTTGTGGAGGGGTCTTGTTGTCTCTATGAACAAAACAAACTCCGTGGCTTTATTCCGCAAGCGAACTATACCGACCGAGAGACCGCCGCTTGTAGACGAAGTTAGTGCCAACTTTAGCGGATATAAAGTTCCGCGTGGTCAGCGCAACGAATCCCCACGCCCGTTAATTTCGGTTTTCTAGACCGGAGCCGCTATTTCCTTTAAATAGCTCCTCAATTATCCTCACGAGGCTGAGTGGACCCCCTTCCAGACCCACTACTTCTCAGAAAATCTGGTAGCGCCGGGAATTGAACCCTGACCACTAGACCACAAAGGCGGTCGCTCATTCCCTTCAAGTTTCTTAAATTGAAAACTGCCTCAGAACAAATCCCTACCAACTTACTGTTAATAATCACCATTCTCTTACCTAACATCGACGCGTGATCGACTGCACGTAATATAGAATCATTAAACAAGAACTCTACAGGTATTGTGGGTCGCATGGCGCATCTTGAGCTCATTCTGTGAAGAAGACAGTTATAGGTGCAGCACTGAGGAGGTGTAAGAATTTTGATGCAATTTTGTGGTGTTCCCAAGATCAAATGATGCCAGTCAATCACGTACGTACGAGAGAAGTAGAACAGAGTTTGCGGCCTACCGTTTCGCCTACCTTCTTCTCCCACTGCAGCACATAGGGCACCGGGTGGTCGCCGGGGAACTCCACGTGGCAGTTGAACACGACTGACTCACCCAAGATGGCGGTGATGTGAACCGCATCTTGGTGGCAAAGCCCTGCAAACACACAATCGTCATTCAGATTTCAACAAGCAATTTAGAGTTTTCTGCCTGCTACAAACGAGAAACATTACACTGCATACTTTGGCCCTGTATATGGATTACATATAGACCATCTTCACTGTGCATAAATTGTGAAGACATAAAACCGCGAACACACAACTCGTGTCCGTTTATTGTCAATGAAGTTGTAACCTCTATTACAGTGCCCTACATTCGCGCCTTTCGCGGTGGTTCCCCTCTGGGAACGTAAACATCACACAGGAGAAATGATACAGAAAAAAAATAACACTGTAGATGTACAGACGATATGTCTCGTTGGCATTTGTTGTGATCGTAAACATATGGCAGTGTTAGGAAACCTATACCTAAACCCAAAGGTGGGCCTCGCCACTTTCGATTTGCGACTGTTTATTGAGCATATTTGCAGCAACCTTGATGCATGGCGCTATGCGTGAATCCAATCTAAGCTTCAGTATGCCTCTGCCATGGGAACTCCATCACACTGAACGAATCCTCTAAACTTTAACGAAATGGAAGAAAATTTTCCATCTTATGTTAAAGCGGACTACTTCTTGACACTTGCAATAATAGGTATGATGACATATAAGTTAGACGAAAACGTTCAAAACTCTGGTCTAAGCAGCGATTCCTTGACCATTAACTTCTCATCAGTGTCTTCAGAAACAAACTTACTTCCACATGTTCAAGCATATATTATATCATCTTATTCTGTCGCTCACCAGCAACACTCCCAATTCTTTCATTACATCCTCTTTCTTAATTTTATCCAGTCTTGTACATCCCCTTATTAGGCGAACCCTTAAAAGAAGAACTCAAATGGATACACAAATACAATTTTACCATGTGCAAGCTGTTCCTATGCTGCAATATTTTTATTTGCATAAAATTAGCAATCAGAAGTACATTTTATTCTATAAGCTAATTTGCTGTAGTATTCTTCGTGACGTGGAGAGGGCTTATCCAGAGATAAGGCCTCGTTAACCCTCTCTCAGGTCGGCTGGCCAATTCCTTTTTAGTCCTCGCCCATTGTGTGGTTCCAGTAACGGTTGCATTAGTACGTTCTCATGTCCTGTTTTGTTGGGGTATCTTGTGCTTTTCCTTATTATGACTTCCTTTACTAGCGGCACTTTCAGGTCTTCACGGAGTGTTATATTGGCAACATACCGTGGGGCGTTGGTAATCATAAGTAGTATCTCTGACTGACATCATTGGATTATGGAAATACTGGTTTTGCTAGCACATCCCCGTATTTCCATTCCATATACCCAAATTGGTTTTAGTATTGTTTTGTAAAGTAATATTTTGTTGTCTAATGGGAGCTTGGAATTTCTTCCCATTAACCAATGCATATCCTTGATTTTTAGACCAATCTGTTTGCGTTTTTTAGTAATGTGTTCCTTCCAGGTTAGATGGTTGTCTAGATGAATACCTAAGTATTTTGTGCTGGGTGATTCAGGTATTTGTAAGTTATTAAAGAAAACTGCAGGACGTTGTTCTCTTCTTAGACTGAAGTTTACTTGCACTGACTTGGTTTCGTTGATTTTTATTTTCCATATATTTGTCCACTCTTGTATTTGATTTAGATGATTTCGCAAAGTGAAGGTAGCTATTGCTGGATCTGTGTTGGCTGAGAGGATCACGGTATCATCCGCAAATGTGCCCATTGTTGTGCTGGCATTGACAGGTAGGTCTGCTGTATACAGTAAATAAAGTAGTGGGCCAAAGACACTGCCTTGTGGTACACCTGATTTTATTGCAAAATTGTTAGATATACTTCCATTGATTCTCGTTCTGAACTCTCTGCCAGTTATATAGGATTTTAGTAAGTGGAAACAAGTGATGGGTAGATATTTTTTGATTTTGTACAGTAGTCCTGGATACCATACCTTATAAAAGGCTTGACTTGCATCGAGGAAGACCGATGTGCAGTATGCTTTATTTTCTATTGCTTGGTGTATTTTGTATGTTATTCTATGTATCTGCTGTACAGTGGAGTGGTTTTCTCTAAAACCAAATTTATGTTATGGTATCCATTCTTCTGTATTTGGGTCAGACTTTATTCTTTTTAAGAGAATTCTTTCGAGGACCTTAGATATGATGGGTAATAAACTTGTAATACGATATGATGACACACTATTAGGATTTTTGCCTGGTTTGTGGATCAGGATTATTTCTGCTGTTTTTAGCTGATTTGACCAGTATTTATATTTGAGAAAAACATTAAATATATATGTGAGAAGTATTAACCCTTTTCTTGACATTTCTTTAACATTATGGGAGTCACTTTGTCAATGCCAGGTGCTTTTCTTGAATTTAGGAGTGCTATTTCGTTTTGCACTTCTTTAACTGTAACAAATTTTATTTCTGGTAAAATGCTGATATTTTCAGATATTTGTCTTTCTATTTCTTTATCAGTCTGGTCATCATATGGTGTAAAAACTGTAGCAAGATATTCAGCGAATATAGCTGCTTTTTCTTCATCCCTTCTTGCCCACAATGTCTGCGGTGCCATTTCATTTCTTATAGGATGTATCTATGTCTTGGGTTTTTTTAAATGTTTGATGGGTTTCCAGATGGTATTGTCATATCTGTTGAGGCTGGTTATATAGTTAGAGAAGGATATTTCTCTTGCCTCTTTAATTTTACACTTCAGCCTAGTACTTATATGGTTATATGTTGTTTTATCTATGGGTGCTTGATTTCTATGCCACCTTGCTCTTGCTCTTCCTTTCTTAGCTATGAGTTTTTTAATTTCAATTGGAACATTCCTTGTGTTATTTTGGAAGGTGGTCTTAGGTGTAGTATCTTGGGTTGCCTGTTTTATAGTGTTGATTAGAGAGGTTAGTGCACTGCCAATTTCCATTGCGCTCTTGAGTCTCACATTTAGATTTATATCTTCTTGTAGTGTCATCCTGCATTCTTCCCAGTTTGTTCTTTTATTGTGCAGTTTACTTCTTGGTGTTTTGTGAACAGCATGACGACTGACAGGGGCTACAATTGGTGTGTGAGCTGAAGAGAGATCGAAACTGGGCACCACATCCATGTATTCTGAAGAAATTCCATTAGTAAGGAAGAAGTCCAAGAGGTCAGGGGTTATGTTGGGACCTGCTGGCCAGTATGTCGGCGTGCCAGTTGACAAGTGGGAATATTTTCGCTCTTGTAATGTTTTTGATAATTCTCTGCCTCTGGTCGTTTGAAGGCGAGATCCCCATAAGGTGTTCTTGCAATTATAAACTCCGCCTGCTACAAATTTGTGTCCCAGCGTTTGAAAGAAATCATTAAAGTTCTCTTTTTGATGATATGTTTTGGTGGACAGTAAACTGCAGCAACAGTTAACTCGTATTGGGTCATCTTTACTTTTATCACTGTGGCCTGTAGGTGATTTAATTTGTACTTTGGGAGCTCATAATGTTTAATAGTTCTCTTTTTTAATATAGCAGTTCCTCCATGTGCTGTAGTGTCGGGATGATTAGCAGACTATGCTAAATACTTTGGTATACTGAAGTAGGATCTATCAGTGAAATGAGTTTCACTTATCAGCATTATGTCTATGAAGTTGTGTTGAAGCAATATCGCTTGTTCATTTTTTTTTTGCTGCAGAAGGCCGTTGGCGTTCCATAGTGCAATTCTAAGGAATGTAATGGATTTTAGATATTAACGTTGATAGCATGTTTAATATCATGCTGTTTTGTTGGGTGAGTTGTTGGAACATTGCTTTAAATTCTTCAAGAAATTTGGTTAACAAATTAGTTGTATTTGGGTCGTTAGTATTTTCCCTTGCTTCTCCTGGGTATGTGATGTTTGGCTCTTGGTTTCTCTTCCCTTTAAGGGTTTCTGAACAACTGATTCTGGTTGTAACTGAGCTGGTTGACTTTGGGTTAGTGCGTTGTGATGCATGTTTAGTCTATTGTTAGTGTTGTTTGGTTGTTTCAATAAACTGTGATAATATTCACATCCTCTCTAATTAGCCGGATGTGCACCTCCACAGAATACACATTTTGCAGGTGTGTTTTTCGATTTTTGCAGCTCTGTGTGCTGTGCGACCCACCACATTTTACACATACATACGGTGTCTTACAGTATGATCTTGTATGACCATATTGTTGACATCGCATGCACTGTGGGATTCCTTTGGCCTTTCTTGGAGGTTCTATTACAATTGTTTGGTTTTGTAGTCTTGCTAGTTTGTAGATTCCTTTGTTGTTAGTGGCAGGCTCTAAATCAACAAAAAATAAGTTATGTGGTTCTTTGGTCATCCGGCTTCTTACATTTATGATGTTTCTTACCTTGTGTCCTTCTTTATTGAGTTCTTGTTCAATTTTCTTGTCGGTTAGTTGAAAAATGTAGATGTTTAGTAACTATCCTGAAGGCATGATTTTTCTTCAGTTGGTATGTATGATATATAATATTATTTTCACGCATATAACGTACAAGTTTACGATAGGTGTCCGGAGTATGACAGTTAATTTGTATAGTGTTGTCTACTAGGGTTTTGGTAGTGTACTGTTCTGTTTCAACTATGCTGCACAGGTTATGTACCATGTCTTGATATTTTGTTACCCCATATACAGATATTGGATGTGGTTTCTGGATTTTATTCTCTATTACTTTGGTGGTGGTAATTTCGTCATCTTCCACATTTAGTTGACTATATTTGTTTGTTAAGGTTATATTTTGACTGAGAGGTTGATTTACCTTCCTTCTTTTATTTTCTTCACTTTTTTCCATGTGTTTTCGTTTGAATCCTGGATGGTAGCATCATCTTCACTAGTTGATGACATCCTATGATAGTACTGTTTACTTGTTTTTGTTGTCTGTTGGGATGGTTCGGTCGGTTGCCTCCGGAACCGTTGCTGTAGATATCTGTTGTCATCACTCCTGCCAGGCTGACTCATTGATTGATCGTTGCAATACTGCTGCATTTTCGCGTTATCAATTTGACTATTAGATAACGTTTACAGCGGTCACCTCAC